GCATGTAAACGTATTGCAAAAATAAAATGCGCTAGAAAGCCTCATCTCTCCAATTAGAAAGATATCTCATCCTTTGGGACATGAAGTATGGGAAATTGGGAAACTTTTATTTTTTTCAAAGATTTATTTTTATTTTTTTATTATGTGTATCTGTGTGTCTGTGTGGGTATGTGCATTTGAATACAGATGTCCTTGGAGACCAGAGTCATCAGATCCATCTGGAGCTGGACTTACAGGTACTTGTAAGCTACTCCATGTAGGTGACAAGAATCCATCCTGGATCCTTTGCAAGAGCAGTCAGCATTCTCAACAGCTGAGCCATCTCTCTGGCCCCAACATCTATCTTTTAACCCGGGAGTTCATTTTACTGAAGTTCTCTGCCTTGATTTTCTTCATAATGGCCTATGCTCAGGGATGATTTTTCAAAATGATTAATCTATATCAGTGTCAGCTTCATAAGCTACAATTTTAAGCACAGTGCAAACAAAAAAGGAAGTTATCAAGAATATATTCGAAATTTCAACAGTGAGATGCTTGCATTTCAGCATTACTAATTCCTGCCGGTCAGGCAGAAGTGAAGGTGAGGAACTCATTAGTGTAGTGACTCAATGCCTTATACACAGGGTATGAGATATAAATCTAGGGATTTGCCAGGGCAATGTAATTTCCAGAAAGAAATTCATAGATGGGTAATGGTGAAAAACTTTTTATGGACCACTGTCTTTCCTGTAAGAAAAAGAGACACTCAGGAAGGACACCTAAAGGCCCAGAAGCTAGACCACTGGATCTGAAAACACAAAGTGGAAGTCCTGCTCATTAGGCTTGAACACTGGGAAAGTACCTACTGAGAAGGTAGGGTTGGTTGTCTTAGTGAAGGTCAGTTTCTTTTGAGCCGTGCTTCCCAATGCAAATATGAAAGCTCACAGGACATTATTAACTGTAGGGCAACCACATTACAAAGACAAAAAGAAAGAAGCTAAATAATTCAAAATGTTAATTACCTAAGAAATATTAATAAAAATATTTCTTTCACAGGGTAATCAGACCTTAAAATATAGGCATTTCCCTATTTTGTACTGTTTTTGACATCCTAGGTAACTTACATTACAGAACCTCTCACTGCAGACATCTCATGTCCCTTGGTAGCCACTATGGCTAGGGAATACTATATTGGACCGCTTAACTGCATAATTTTAGATTTTATTATCAGATAAATCAGCTTCTCTCTCTCTCTCTCTCTCTCTCTCTCTCTCTCTGTGGGGGGGGGCGTGTGTGTATGTGTGTGTGTGTGTGTGTCTGTGTGTGTGTGTCTATCTCTCTTCATGTGTGATACTATTCACTACAAAGTAATGAACTATCTGGACTGTGTTTTGATAGCTAAATAAATTTGATAATCATTCGTATATTTATTATGTTCTAATTTGTTGAGTACTGGTGGTCTATGGATGAACCATGCTTAGTTACATCATTAATGACCCCATTAGTGTCATTCCATTATTTGTATCATCCTGATTCAGGAACCCTCAATGATCCAAGTCTCCTTTAAATGAACCTCATTAAGTGTACAGAGTAACTGATGGTAAAGAAAGTGAATGTGTGGAAATCACCATGGTATCCTGAGAGTCTCCATGAACAAGTATAGGCCCAGGTCCTCTTGGGGAGGAGACCACTTTCCTTTGGTTCACAGAGGGAAGTACAAAGAATACAAAAGAATAGACACCTCTGAGGCAGTCAGGGTGCCAAAAGAAAGCTGAGTACACAGGAAGAAAGCTGCACCACATTGGGTACTATGTAAGCAACTCTCTCGAGGGCACCTCTACAGCCAGTTCACTGTGATGTCAATTCCCAGTGTCTCCTCTGAGCATGTTAGATAAAGGAGGACTCCTGCTTGACTCTGATTATGACCATATTGTATACAGCATGATATACAATAACGTCAGTCATGGGGTAGACTAGGGTGGGGTAGGAGAGGAGTCTATCTGAGTTAGTCGTTTATCTGACACACTGCAGAAACTTAGCAATGACTTCATATTGATATTTTGAATTGCACACCAGATGGGAATCAATTCATAAGATCAGGTACCTTCAGAATCATGGTTACAAGTAATGCTATTCCAAATGAAACAGAACACCTTACTGACACAGCAGTCATAGCTCTGTCTTATTATAATTCTTTTGATGGGCCAATGAGACCCTTTTCATTGTGTTTCATTACAGTCTATCTTTTTAATATATATATTTAACATTTTTATGTCTAATATGTATCAGGTATTGAGCTAAGCATTTTTCAAACATTATAACAACCCACATTTGAGTCAACATAATTGAAACTAAGTTATATAGATTTTGTGTGTATGTTGGTAGAATTATCCTTCTTACCCAAATACACACACAAACGTAAGCAAAACTTACTCATAACTAGCACATAGTCTACAAATCTTACAAACTGAAAATGTTTTTGCTAATCAATTTATAAGTTTTAGTTTCCTTTCTAGATATTAGCCTCAGTATTTTACCTTATAGATTTAAATTAGTTTTGAATGTATACTTAATTTTTTTTTATCTTTTTGAGACAAGGTCTCCCTGTAGCCCCAGCTATCCTGGAACCCACTATGTAGAATAGGCTGGTCTTGAACTCACAGAGATCTGCCTGCCTCTGCCTCCCGAGTGCTGGGATTAAAGGCGTGCACCACCACGAAACTGAAGGTACATTCTTCAGAATGTTCCCTAAGAAGTAACTTCAGCTAATTCCCTTACAAAAATACTCTAAGTGTTATCATAGTGCATGTTTTGACCAGATGATTGACTGGGAACCTTGTAAACTTTTCTGCACTTCATCTCAGAATTTTGTTGTTGTATTGATTCAAATCTTGAAAGTGAAAAATGTCACTTTGGCTTATCATTTCTAACTCTTTTACCCAATTTGATGACAAACTTTCATTTTATCTGTATTCCTCCATCCAATAACTCCTGATTTGGTTTATATTTGTGACATTGCACCATGTTTGAATGTCTCTGATGCTAGTTCTGCAGTCAAGGCCTGTGTTCCACCACCCCCTGTGACTTTGGGTTTTCCTTTAATTGGCAGTCATCATTATTGACAGGTTTACATAATAGTATAACATGATCTTACCAGTTAAACAGTGTCCTTCCAGACAGGAAGTACAAGCAGTTATAATGCCATAGATCCAGAAACAAAGGCAGGACTAAAGGAAAGAAAGTACTCCCCACCTCCCCAAGACTGTGAGGACCTTCTGTCAGATCCAAGCTGTCTGCCCCCGCCCCCCGCCTCATTCTTCATCCCACAACTCTCTTATGCAATGAAAATTAGACTTTGCAAAGTTATTCCAAATGTACAAGACTATGAATGTTGTTTCCATCCTTTTTCTGCCATTTGGGATGCGGGATGTCTAACAAGAGACTGAGGCCTATCTTTTCTTGTTTGTTTGTATGCTTGCTTGTTTTCCTTACAAATTATTAGGTTTTAGCCTGGCATGGTGATGTGCATCTTCAGTCCTAGCCCTCAGGAGGCAGGGGCAGGTGAATCTCTGTGAGATCAAGGCCAGCCTGGTCTACATTGGAAGTTTCAGGCCAGCTGTGGCTACAGGGCGACCCTGACTCATTTTTCCCATCCTCCTTCCCCTCCCATCACACTCTTCACTGCTTTTACATCAGCTGGAGTGTATTCTACATGGCACAGATAACTCCTGCATTTATGGTTGCTGAAGTAAAAGTACAAAGCGAGAAACAAAATAAACAACAGCAACAAACCAGTTCATGCTGTATTTAAATTCACCCAAATGAAGGAAAATGGCTTTAGGTAGAGAGATAGCAAAGATTACTATAAAAAGTTAAAGATGCAATGAGTTATTTTCAATAGTCCCTTTATAGATAAATGTGAAAAGTACCAATTATGACTTATTACTCATTATTATACATCATGCAGCACCTCAAAACACAGCACACAGGACCCTTCATTGTTTTATCTTCACTGAAGATGCATATGTGAAATGGTAAGGCTAAGACTTCCTACCCAAGCTTGGGTCACCTACCACTCACTAGGTAAATAATTTTAAAGAAGCAACCCACAACTCTCTACATCAGAATCCCACTGTGGAAAGCAGAAGCAATACAACCATAACCCAGGGTGACTTTAAGGGGGGAAAACATTGAGCAATATACAAAGCAGGGTTTAACAGCGTTTGGAACAAGACAGGTCTAAATTAATATTAGTTCCCCTTTCTTCCCTTATGTATCTGTGGACAGCAAGCTTGTTTTAGACTTTGAAACATGAAACTTGTCCCCTCCCCCATCAGCATACATTTCTCAAGTTGCCACAAACCTATGAAAAGACAAGAAATAACTACTAAAAGACAGGCCTACTTAACAGGAGTTTGGGAGGAGAAAATGAATAATTACATGTTGAACATCCTGTTATTGACTTTAACAGTGGACATGTCAATTTTTTCTTCCTGCTTTTCTTTTACAATATATATTCTAAAGAAAACTGCATCACTTTTTTTTTTTTTTTTTTTTTTTTTTTTTTTTTTAAGGAAGAGAAAGGAAGGCCCTGACAAGATACAGGATCAATTCCAACTTCCAAGCTTCCATTCCTGATCTGTCCCTGAATCTAGGTCTCTTAGCAAAGTTGAAAGGTCAAAGATAGAAATACTGTCCTTAAGTCTTAGCATGGCTGAGTCCTCTGTCAGTATGGCTGAAAGACTTGAAAGTGGTCTTCACACGTGAAGACAAGAGATGGGGGAGGGGGCAGAAAGCATCCCAAGAAACTCTTTCCAATAGTGCTTTGTCACAGTAGTGCAATCACTCACAACCTCAAGAAAGGGGGAGAAAAATACTGTGTTTAGAACAGAAGGTGGTGTGGGGTTACAATTGAGAACAATGCACTTTAAGTCAGAGGGATCGGGCATCATGTTATCCAGGACTTGTCCTAGGCCCACAAGAGGAATGTTCACTAACTCCTGGTCCCAGACCCAACTCACCCAGCTGGAGCTGTTCGCAGGTCCGACCTTCATTCTTTCCGATCCCGCATCTGTAAATCGCCCCAGGATTGACCACAGAGGCATTGGTGAGCCAGCTGGCAGTGGGTGCCCCCACGACGAGCCTAAAGCGAGAACCATACATGTGCACTCAGACGTGAGCCCCGCTGCCCATCCCGCCCCGCATCTTAACCGCTGTGCAGTGAGTGGGCAGCAGGGGCAAAGGTGCCCACCTCCTCTGCCTACCACGAGGGACTCCGGACTGCAGGGTCAGACCCCAGCAGCACTCTAGGCGCTGCCATGCCGAAATAAGTTTTCTGGGACAGCTCTCCAGAGAGCTGGCTACTGCCAGGCTTCCAACTGGCCTCCCCAGAAGGAGGAAAGTTTGATCCAGCCAGGGAATCCTGGAGGCGGGTGCCGTGCTACACTTGGAGGGCGCTCTCACCATCGCTTCGCCCCGTGGCTGTGCAGCACCACAGAGTATCCGAACAGCGTGCCAGAGGGGCCTTGGTACAGCAGCGCGCTCTCGGGGTCTAAATTGTAGGGGTGTCCGGCGGGCACCCCCAGGCACAGCAGCAGCATCACCGCTTCCCGGACAGCGGCCCCTCGGAGCCCGGGTGCGCGCCTTGCTTCCGCAGCCATGCACCCTTGATGGGGAACATTCAACACCAAACGGCCACTGCTCCAGAGTTGCAGGGGATGCGACGGTTGGCCCAGGCGAAGAGCGCCCCAAGAGATGAAGCGCAGCAGCGTGTCCGGCGCCCGGCGGGCGACAGGGGCGGAGGGAGGGACGGCCGAGAAGGAAGGGAACCCGGGGCCACAGGCGGAGCGATCGCGGTAGCCAGAGGTACCGCACGCCTGGCCCAAAGCCGGCTTTCTGTGGCCTGGGGGCGCGGGTATTCCCGCGGTCTGGGTGGGGTCCTGGGCGTGGTGCGGAGGCTCACTGCCGGCCTCCCGGTCCCCCAACCCGGCAGCAGCTGTAGGGGGCGCTGAGGGATCTCGGCTGCACCCTACGCTAGTCCCGCAGCCCAGGGAGCATGGGGTGGGTTTGGGCTCGGGGGGCTTAGCGGGCAGGGCCTGGAGGGCACCGGCGCTTCCCTTTCGAAGGGTGAGTGGACCTGATGCTGAGCCGGCTAGCACTTCCCAAAGTGAACTGCCAGTTCAGGCGGCCTCAGTGGCTAAAAGTCTCCCAAACTTGGGGAGTGGGACTGTGGTGGAGAACCTTCCAGATCTTTCTTTGCTAGTTCAGTGCTATATTGGAATTTTTTCATAAGCACTAGCGAAATTACACCGTTTGCAACACGTTAAAAACAAAACCAACACAACAAAAAAAGAACTCCCTAGAGGGAGGCGCCTAGGGGAACATTTTGGTGACAAAGGCCTTATGGCTACTCTCTTCAAATCTCCTAGGCCTGCACCCTTTTATGCCCACTTCCTTCCTCCCTACGCTTCCTCTTAAGCAGCCTCTTTGTGCGAGTAAGTCAGGCAGCAAAGCAGCCTGGTGCCTAAGACAGAAGTTTAAGCTGCTGCTGACCCCAAAGAGAGGCTGGCAAAGGAAACTCTAGGACTAGCCTAACTTAGCAGACTCCTCCCAGGGACCATAGACAATAGCCCAAGGCAAGGCCATATTGAGCCTCCAAAGAGCCTAGCCTAGCCTGTGGAGGCCCAAGACACAGCAAGGCTGAACCACATTACCAGCCTCAGCCTCTTGAACTCCAGGTACACCCGATTTCTTCCTGGAACAATTAGCAATCGTTGTTAGCAGGTCACCTTACAGTTGCTGCATGAGAAACGAAGAAAAGGTGTCACCTAAGGCTGTGTCTGAGAGTAAAACCATGGAAGCAAGACATCAGAAGCTAGTGGCAGATGCACTATTCACTGAGTCACGGTCTGAGATTAAAACCATGGAAGCAGGGCATCAGAAGCTTGTGGGAGACACACTATTCACTGAGTCAAGGTCTTTCACCCAGCACATAGCACCAGGTCTTCAAAATTCAGTCTTGAGCCTTCAGAACTGAGCCACATGGTAGAAAGTCAATGCTAATAGTCCACAAAGTTCACTCGAAGTGATTTGATGGACAAGGATTATTGAGTCAGGCTATACACTAAGTGGAGGCATGAGGGAGAGGCCAGTCAGCCAGTGGAGGAACTGAGAAACAGTGGAACAAACAGGTACCCCTGAGCCTCACAGGCAGACCAGGAGCTTCTAACCCTAGGCTGATGGGAAGCTGCTTTGTCTTGGTCAGCTGGCATTTAATATAGTCTGAAAGTCTGAACATGAACCCAACAGAGAACTTGTTAACAGCATTGATAAATATGAGTGTGGGGCTCAGATGAAGAGATTAGGATGATGCTAAATTTAGGTTTGCAAACATGGTATGTGATGCCACCAGGAATGAAAAAACAGTGGGACAAGATTATGCATGTGTATATGTATATAGAGTTGAGGCACTGAGGAGTACAGTTTTATTCCTATAGCTTTGGAGATGTCCATGGCATGTTAGGATAGTCTAACCGGACCAAACTCAATTACTATTACTTTCTTGTTAATGGACAAACTAAGAGGAACATTATTAACCTTCAGCAAAGTAACAGCTCATAATAATGTGTGAGTATCCCATGGATAGTGAAAGGAAGTGGCTTCCATGAAAGCGGCTATCAGGTCCCAGGTGAGTGGTCCCACTGTAACTGCTTCTTTCTGCAGGTATGCAGAGGGATTCTTTTCCTCAGTACATCTCTGTGATCCTTTTAACCCACTGCTACATGTAGGTCATACTGTCATTTTTCTGAAATAGTTAATCTCTGCAGTTTGCAACTATAAAATCTGCAGATGGAACACAGTGCAGGAGCATTGAAGCCACTGGCTCCTGACTCTGGCAAAGCCACAGAGAATGAGTTGAACCTCTGCCTCTCTTTCCCTTCACCCAAATTTACTACTGTTTTGTTGCTGTATTGTTTCAAGACAGGGTTTCATTTAACCTAGGCTAGTCTTGAACTGCCTTTTTAGCTAAGGATGACCTTGAACTTCTGATCCTAGTACTCTACTTCTTGAGTACTGGGATTACAGGAATATACCACCTTCTCTGGTTTATGTAGTGTAGGGGTCCTGGGGATGGAACCCAGGGCTCCATTCATGCTTGGCAAGTGCTCTACCAACTGAGTATATCCCCAGGCCCCTCCACTCAAACCTTAAGTAATAAAATCTCCAGACAATTATTTTATAGCATAGTGAAAGTCAGTAATGTTGAGGCTGTACAGTTTGAGGAAAGGGATGAGGGAACTCTGGGAAGCCAAGTGGGGAACTGAGAGAGGTGTCCTCAACAGAGCAGTTGGCTGTGGAGTAGTTGATAGGCAGGACCTCATTTCTATCTTCTGGTTACAATTCACTGCTTTCCCAGAAACAGCACCTGCTATTACCTCACAGGCCATGGCAACCTGAGTTCCTTCCCTTAAGGTATTGAAAATAACCTGCTTTCTCTAACCAATAAAAGGGGCTTGATAAAGTTTGACAAAGCCTGGAGCTACTGTTCTCTTTTGGTGCCATTCCACTTTGAAAGCTTCTTTCCTTCCAAGATAAATGCCGCAGAGCTCCAAGGCTACATGGGGGGAGGGGTTCCTTCTCTCTCCTTCCTCTCTCCTCAGTCCATGTTCTGTCTTTGAATGACTTCTGAGCATCACAAGTTCATGTCTCCAGCCTGAACCTTTCTGGGCTCTGGGTTTGTAAACATGCTGCCTGCTTGAAACCTCTGCGTGGCTTTCCAGGGTGTGTCTGGAATTGAACTGATGCTCTTACCCTGTGGGAACTATTTCTTCAACCAGTCTTCTCCATTGTAGAAAGCCAGATCAGAAATTTGAAAAGAACACCTTGATTCCTCTCTGTGGTAATGACTTTTACAACATAGACATGCTCTGGATAGATGACTTTTACTAAACCTTACAACCAAAGAGTGAATCTCAACTTGCTGATATTGTTAAAAAAAAAATCACTGAGACATGTGCTACTTTTATGACCTGGGCACATAACCTTAATCCCTCACAGTTACTCCTTGTTCTCCCTCAAGATAGTGTATAAATGTGTATATGTATGTTTTACATATCAAAGTGCAGCAAGCAACACCTATCTCATTGCAAGCAATGAGATAAATTTATAACACCTCTTTATGGTTGTGAGTGTGTGTGTGTGTGTGTGTGTGTGTGTGTGCGTGTGTGTGTGTGCGTGCGCGCATATGTGTATGCTATTCTAAGTTTGTAGGGGTCATAAGGGACATAATCCTCTGTTGAGGGTCAGACTTTTACTTCACCATTTCATGTTGGATATAAGGTTTCAATGAAAGAAAGAGTAGGTGAATGTTCTAAATCACAGTTCTAAGACAATCCTGAAGAAACAGATTCTCAACAGTTCAGGTTCACTCTTGGCCTTAAAATGAATGCTAAGGGTCATGTTGTTTTCTATCAAGGCACAACTGTAATGTGGCATAAATGCTGCCCCATCTATCCTCAGTATGGACTCCATTAATTACCATATCCTACCAATTTAATGAATAAAATATATCACTTCCTTCCCTCTTTGCTCCCTCCCTTTCTTTGTTTCTTTGTTTCTTTCTTTAATTCTTGTTTCTTCCTTTCCTCATTCCCCCCTCTTCTTCTTCCTCTTGCTTTGGAGACAGAGTGTGCAGACTTGGTTGCCACACTCCCAAAGTATCCATCTACTTTTACCTTCCTCTGTAAAGTTACTACCCTTTCCCAAATGACAGAGAAATGGCCGTAGGCTACCTACCACTTAATAATATGCTACTTCATCTTCTTTTACAAATCCCCAATTCACCAGTTTTATTCAGAGATGCTAACAAACTTTTGAAATTATTTTAAAAATACATTATTATTTTTATTTTGTGTATATGAGTGTATTGCCTGCATGTATGTAAGTGCATCCATGTTATGCAATGCCCACAGAGGTCAGAAGAGGGCATCAGATCCCCTGGAACTGGAGTGGCAGTTCTTAGCTACCATATGGGTGGTGGGAACTGAACCTGGGTCCTCTATAAGAACAGCCTGTGCTTTTAACTTCTGAGCCATCTCTCCAGCCCCAAACTTTTAAAATTCTAAGTCAACTATCCTTACTCATTTAGATCCTTTGAATGACTTCCCATTGGTCTTAAAATTCAAACTATATGATCCCTTCTGATTTGGCTCCAGATTATCCAAAGCCTGCCCCTCTCCTTGGAACCTTTGCTTTGGCTGCCTCTGTTCTTGATTTCTTTAAGTGGCTAAAGGTCTTGCTTATCATGTTTCTCTGCCTGGACACACAGTCTCTGACTTTATACATGACTCTTTCCTCCCTCCCTCCCTCCTTCCCTTCCTTTCTTGCCTTCCTGCCTGCTTCCTACCCCTCCTACAGAGATTTTCTGCCCATCCAATGTAGAGTCCTCCCTATTATAGTCTCACAGACAATCTTATTTGTTTTCTTCAGAAATTTCACATTTACTTTCCTGTGTCTTTCTCACTAGAATATGAGAGAAGAAAACACACTGGGGTCTTCACTGCTGCTCACCACTGTCTCTTTAGCTCATATTCTGCAGGCAAGTAGAAGGTGCTCAGTGGGCACTTTTCCATCAAACTTTTTAATGTATTTATTTGTGTGTGCATGCATCTGTATGTGAGCATGTGTGCCATATGTACATGTGGAGGTCAGAGGACAACTTGTGTAAGTTGCTGCTCGCCTTCTATTGTGTGGATCCTGGGATAGAATTTAGGTGGTTAGGCTTAGTTGCAGGTGCCTTTACTTACTGAGTCAACTCACTGACTGATGCTCAGTGGGAATTTTTTTGGAATGTCCCTTTTAGAAGGATCACTAAAGTCATAAATGAAGGATTGTGCTAGGTCTGTGTCAGATGCAAAATATGTAGTAG